TTTTTTTTTTTAAAAAAAGAGCCTATTTTATCAAAACCTCAATTGAATTTGTTAGTATCTAATATATATATATATATATATTTAAAATTTAATATTTTTAAAATTTTTACTTATTTTCGGTATAGATATAAAAATACTAAATGGGATTCTACAAAGAATCAGATTTTCGAATCCATGCAAACTTTTTTTCAAAAAAGTTCAAGAAATGTATGTAAATCATTTTAAAATTTTTTTTAAATTGCTCTATTTAGAAGGGATTAAAAAATCCCTTTAGATAGTTAAAATAGTTAGATAGTTTTTTTTAAATTATGAATTATGAGAACGTCATCGTTCCGTCTTCCCCTCTTTCAGCCATTTTCTTCTTCTTTTTTATGGTTTTCACTGGGATCATATGATAAACTCTAAGAAAGTTCCATGATGAGTATCTATGGAAACTATTCTAGGAGGTTTAGAAAATGATGGAAAGCGACTTAGCTTTGACGATGAGGTGAAAGATGATTCTCAAATGCTCCTTAAGGACATTAAGGCAGCTGGTATGACTTGGGAACACGATAACTGTCACAGCATATACAAAATATGTAGCTCTAAAATGTCAAATAATGAAATAAGTGGAAAACTTAGAAAAGTTATCAACCTTTAAATAATATTAAAAAAATATTGATTTTAGCTTGTTTTCTTTTAAATGAAATAAATTATTTAAAATTTATTTTGTAATAAAAGAGAAAAAATTTTTTTCATCCACTTGAAATAATAAATAATGCCTAAATTATAATGTTATATTTTTGAAAAAATATAATAATAAGAACAGAATAATAATAATTTTTATTAGTTTTTTTCCTATTACATATTATTTCTAATTGTATTTGCTAATTATTTGTCGTATCCAATCTGCTTTATCAGTCACGCTGGAGAATACAACTTTTGTTCCTTTCACTTAGCAAAGACCACTAAACATATTTGTAGGAAATCCGAAGCTTGTCGCTCCCATCAACCACCATTTACTACCAAGTTTACAAACTAAAGGGCCACCACTATCACCCTAAAAATAAAAATAAATATTTATTACTTACTTAAAGTGAGAAAAAAATACAACAATATATATATACTAGAAATTTACTTTTTTACTTTACCAAAAATAAATTAAATACTACATTGTTTTGATTTTTATAAACTTTTTTTCTTATACTGGGTTAATTATTTTAACGTTCTGTATAATATATTTTTTCTTCAAGTGATTTTCTTAATAGATGCCAGCACTAAATTTTAAATTGCCATATTTTGACCAATTATCTTATGCAATACCAGCTAAAAGATCACAGTTTATTATTTTTTTCTTCTAAGCAATTTTGTTAACTGTTAGATTAGTCAGTCTTATTTTGACGCATTTTTTATTTTACTTTATATGGGTAATTTTATTTCATTTTTTTTTTCTTCTTTCATTTTAAACTCATTTACAATTACGTTATTACTTTTTTTAAGGCGTTGTAAAGAATAATTTTTTATCTAAGCTTAACTGCTTTTATTTCGAAATTCCTGTGCTGTAGAGAACCTTGATAATTTATCCCATAAGGATTTTATTATTTTTCTAATTCTGTTATGTTTTTAATTATATATATATATATATATATACAGACAATTATATCAGCAAAAAGGGTCTCGCAATGGACTGATCGCTTAGACACGGCTCCCAGCAGATCACCGAAGTCAAGCATCACTAGCTGCGGTCAGTGTGCGGGTGGGTGACCACTTGGATCAGTCTAAATAGGGACCGAGGATGTGCGGTATTGGTATATTGGATGTGCGGTTAAACAGTTCTACTGTAAAGTGCTCGACTTCGCTTGCAGGTCGTCGGGCTACCAAAGCAAGGGTGCCATCCCCCCTGCAGAGGATGATGGCATGTCTTCGGATCCTCCTCAGGGAAGTTTCCCAGACCGTCGCCAATAGCCCATTGTGCAGCTCCAGTGGGACGTAAATGTGGGACGCAACTACAGTGGGACGCAACTACAACAATCAGCAAAAAAGAGATCTTTCTAATATTGTATCAATATAGCTATTGTGAGTTGATAGGGAGATTATATCTTCTTCTTCCGGTTTTTGATTCAAATTTCTTTAATTTTTTTAAATTTTATTTTATTCCATTTAACAATTTTCTTCTTCCCTTTTTCATTATTCCGTAATTTTTTTCCATATTTTTCTCTATATTTTGAACTTATAAATAAAACTTATTAATATTCTTAATTTTCCTCATTTATCTCCTTCTTATCCTTTTTGTATTTATTTATTGTGCTATATATATATATATATATATATATATATATATATATATATATATCTATATATATATATATATATATATATATATATATATATATATATATATATATATATATATATATATATATATATATATATATATATATATATATATATATATATATATATATATATATATATATATATATATATATATATATATATATATATATATATATATATATATATATATATATATATATATATATATATATATATATATATATATATATATATATATATATATATATATATATATATATATATATATATATATATATATATATATATATATATATATATATATATATATATATATATATATATATATATATATATATATATATATATATATATATATATATATATATATATATATATATATATATATATATATATATATATATATATATATATATATATATATATATATATATATATATATATATATATATATATATATATATATATATATATATATATATATATATATATATATATATATATATATATATATATATATATATATATATATATATATATATATATATATATATATATATATATATATATATATATATATATATATATATATATATATATATATATATATATATATATATATATATATATATATATATATATATATATATATATATATATATATATATATATATATATATATATATATATATATATATATATATATATATATATATATATATATATATATATATATATATATATATATATATATATATATATATATATATATATATATATATATATATATATATNTATATATATATATCGTCTTTAATAAGTATATACTTACATGGCACGGTGACTGGTGGGCTTTAGCCACACATACTTGTGTTTGTACATTGTGAGAACAATTTTCTTTAGACATAACGATTTGCTCTGTTTGTTTCAACACATCAGAAAAGCCGGTACCTAGAAAGATGTCTCTGAAAAGTGATTTTAAAAAAGAGCACAATTTTGATATTTCCTATCTTTTCTTAAAAATTTAGAGAGATTGGAAAACAAAATTATTTGTTCCTCCAAAGTAGATTTCTTTTGGATTCTTTTAAAAAATTAATTATGTTTAAAAGAGTTTTTCAAAATTTGAATGTCGAATTATTAATTTTCGGAAGCATTCACATTTTAAATTGTTATGGGAAGTATTTCCTCTCTTTGTGTGTTTCTCAATTTTTTTAAAAATCAAATATCCAACATACAAGCATCGAAATAATTAATACTTTAAGCCATAAGAAATGTTGTTTTGTTTATTTTTTCCTGAAATTATGCATATTTCTACCAACAGTATTGTGGTTTGGTTGCTGTTTTAATAAAAGAAAAGAATTTCCATTGGTTGTTAAAATAATAAACATGTTCAAGTTTGAAAAATATATCAAAATATTTTCGCTTTTATAGGTTGTCGTAGAAAATCGGACAAATCTTGATTATTCCGCCGCGTTGTCATTGAAACCTTTAGCTTCATTCATTGCGTTAATGCTGCGTAGCATACTATTTACATTTTATGCGTTGCTTAAATTTTTCTTTTTAATACTGTAGGAGCAATGTTGTTGCCAACGGTAGAAACAAATTCAGTTCTTTTCCGGAATTACGTTAGAATTTAATGCATACAATTCTTTTTTGTTCGTTCAAAATGTTCGAGAAATCTTTAAATGAGAAATCAAATTTTTAATCCTTGCTTAACTAGCAGACTTTTCCTGTAAAATTCTTAAAACAGCGCCTAACTTATTTCTGTCCTTCTGCAATAGACACTGCGTGTTAAGCAGCTGTAACATAAGCTATTTTAACTTAGCGGTGAAAATACATTCTTTAACAGAAATTATTTTCATTAAAAATAAAATGTGCCGAACTAAACTGTAATGAGACATCAGGTCACCGATATTTTTCAAAAAATCAATTTGTACACATTCCCTCTTCTTTTGTTTCCTTAACTCATGGAATGTGCGAAAGTAATCTTTATCAGTTTGTCGGCCTCTTTGATCAGCACGTGAGAGGTCACTGAGCTAGTGTTCCTTAATAAAAAATATCGGGTAACATTAGGTGGACATATTTTTAAATAAACAAATAAATTTAGATTTTGGAAAGAGTTATTGGATTGTAGAAATCTGGTAGGAGTCACTGATACTTGTAAATACGTAAGAAAATTGTCTGTGTCAAATAACGAAAGGAACATTTACGCTATGTGACAACCAATCCTTAAATCTCTCGACTTTTCACGTGCTGATCTAAGGGGCCGACTGACAGATGTGGATGAATTCCTCACTTTCTAAGAATGTAGAAAACGAAAGAAGTGGAAGTGTTTATAAATTCAACTTTTTAAAAATATATGTGACCTGATGTCACAAAAAATATGTAGTATTATTGTGGGTCTGTAACGGAATTTGTATGCCCAGTCTGTAACACTAGTCAATAGACTAGAAGTCAATTATAGACTGATAGAATAGTCAATTTCACTAGAATAAAATTCCCTTGGATGGTTCTTAACCAGTTTTGCTAATTGACAACTGTAATGCGAATATCTAAAATTTGAAATAAATAATTATAAATAACTAGTGGGAGTTAGAGATTGCTACATTTTACGAAGAATAAGTCGCTTTCGTGTATCCTTTAAACTCAGATCATTTTTCTGAAAATTTTAAACTTATTTTACCTCTTGTTTCTCCCCAGCCAGTAGAATAACAAACCCAATCCGGCTGAGCCTCCCATCCAAGAGACGGCAAACAAACTGGTTGAATACCGTCCGTGTAAATTACAGGAGCATTCAATTTTATCAAGGCAATATCATGTGTAATTGACATTTGTCTCAACTAGAAAATAACGAAAAAACAAAACATTTACATTGAAGTAAGTTACGAATAAATATAATTTGCCTTATGAACGAATCTAACTTTCAAACTTACCTAACATTCTAAGATATGAATATATAAAGACATATAAATACATTCCAATGTATGAAGAATGAATGTTCACAGTTTAGAAGTCATTTTTTATTTTTATTTTTTTTTACATTTCTAGTGTTATATTGATTTTTGAATTTCTGATTTACAAGTAATAACTATTTGACCAGATGAAATATAATTTTAATATTAATTAAAATATCATAACCAAACTGATAATTAAACATGCAAGCATTCTTCTAGCCACAAACTTTCAACGCTACCACGTTTTGCCTGAATGCAAAGTTGTAAATGTGTCAGTAAATTTTCTGTTAAAGGCCAAAACTCTCATACTAATATGTTGTCTCATTTTTTGCACACGAAGTTTTTAATATAGGTGTCAAAGTACGTATTATAACGTAAACCGAACAAAGATCAACGGGGAAAAATCAATTAGAACCATTCACAAATGAAGTCAATATGTGATATATATATACATATATATATGTATATATATATCACATATTGACTTCATTTGTGAATGGTTCTAATTGATTTTTCCCCGTTGATCTTTGTTCGGTTTACGTTATAATACGTACTTTGACACCTATATTAAAAACTTCGTGTGCAAAAAATGANTATATATGTGTGTGTGTGTGTGTGTGTGTGTGTGTGTGTATATATATATATATGTATATATATACACCTGGAGTTCGTTGGATATCCAAAGCGGCACGGACATGATTTGCAACCAGTTCCATTTCGGAATCCACATGTGTTGCGGATACAGCACTTTTCAATGTATCCCCTATGATAAAAATTCATGCTGCTAAAATTGGAAGAGCATGGTAGCCAGGAAAACGGGCCACCACTCCCGATCCATCGGTGATCTAACACCTGATTCAAATGTTCATAAACATCATATTAAATGTTCATGTCAAAACGTAGGATCGGAAATGCACGTCTTGGTGGCATTAGTCCAGGTACCACTCTGCGAAACTCACACGTACAGGATGATCCGTGGGGAGTAGCAACTTATACTCTTTGAAGATGGTACGGGTGTGAGCTTACACGACGCAAAACATGCAGAACGCTATTCCGAGATCTTCCTCAGTAGTTGCCCATTAGATTCAAACGATTGGTATCCAACATATTATCTTCCATGATAGGAGTGCTAGTCACTCGTGTCCCGTATTCACTATGCCTATTTCTTCGTAATGATCGCACAAATTGTGATGCAAATTATTAAACAGCCTGCAGTCCGATGCGTCTATACTATTTTTCTGCTACTGATGCATTTCCCTCTGTCAATCGGTACATCATGCCAGCTCACTGTTCGTATAACGTTGCACACTCCTAAGCGAGCGATGACAGCTCAAATGACTGAGGCAATGCGGGTTTGCTTCTTCCAATCCTCTTATGAACAACACCACCTAGCGGCGAACGAAGACGTTTCCGACTTACAGGACAACGGAATAAAACTTTGTGTTTTATGTATTTCGCGACCAAAATGTTTACAATCTAGTTTATTGTAAACATTGCAAAAAATTAAGTCTTAATTAAAAAATTTTGATCTGCGCTGACTCAACTGTTAAGTCATTGAGCTGCCATAGTGAAGAATCGGCATTCGATCGCTGGTGGTGGCTTGAACGTACCCAGCATGAGATCGATGGCTATTGACTTGATTGGGGAAGTAAAGGGATTCGGTGTGTAATGCTGACCATATTGAATGTCGTTGGTCGCGAAATTGTGGAGTCTTTATCTCCCTGACCAATAAAGGGCTTTTTTTTTATTTTAAATGAAATCCTTACCTTTTCTCCCTCCAAGTCTGGATATGATATGATTTTTTCTGCTATTCGAGTTACTTCATATTTTGTTTTGTTATATTTATTGTGACTTCCAAGAACAATCCTCAAGTCTTGTGGATCGGGTTTTCTGAAAGAATTTTATTTTATGAACTAAGAAAGTGTATCTAATTTACATGTTAATCAATAAATAGAGGTTAAGGACAGAATAATACAGCTGTTTCGATATTGTGATAAATAGTTTCGAACTAAAAATTTACATTTAATGTTTAACTTGCTTAGATTATTTTTTACTTTAGTTAAACAATATTGAAAAAATAACGTTTTTATAAATCATAGTTTTAAAAAATTAATGAGCAATTATAGAAAGAAAACAATATATGTGCCAATAGTGTGAGATTTAATATTCACAGTGAAATTATCATGATATTTCTTATCTGACAATTTTCATTGTGGATCATTACAAAAATAATATTCTTTTTTTAAAAATATTGTTTTTTTTTTATAAATATCCAACTTTAAAAATCAAACTAATATTCTGTATTTGATATTTATCGTGTTCAATAACCCTGGTCAATAAACAACTTATTTTTCGTCACTAATGTTGATAATTACCTTATACTACATATTTATCGTACGACATATTCCTTATATGTCAGGGAAATATATTCCTAAATATCGTTGCGACAAAATTTAAAATTTGATATTACACCATAAGCCTATACTAAAGAATGAAATGGTTTAAAATAGAGTTGAAATTAAACGTCACCACCCTACCCTATGCACAATTTGGACACCGGTGTCACTTTAATGTATTTTTCGACACTCTACTTACAAGTAAAAATACATTGTGGTATTTTTTTAATTATTAAAATCAATCTAATCGTTGCTAACAATCAGAAATAATAACGAATTTTAATAAAATCAAAACATTTAGCTACCATGTAACAGTTTTTGAATTGTATACTAATGTTTTTGGCAGATGTAGAGGGGATATAAAAATAGATATTATTCTGCACTCAATTCAAGGGTATGGTATAAAAATATAACCGGTTATATTAATGATTTTTATTTTTTGAGAAAAGGATTAAATAAGATAAAGATTCGATAATTATAAATTAGATAATTTATTTTTTAAATATTAGGAAATATGTTATGCATATTATGCATATGTTATGCATATACAAGCTCATTGAATTTTCTCTAGAAAACTTACCCAGTGACACAATGAGCTGCTGTTACAACCCACTGTGGACTGATGAGGGACCCTCCACAAAAATGAGCATTGGGCTCTTTATAGGTGTGCTGCAATGAGACCTGCCACGGCCAACTGTTAGTCACTACTTCCGCTCCCCCAACCTGTCTGTCTGCAGAACCATAAATGGTTTTTGGTTGAATCGGTGGCTCACCACATATGTCTGATGGCATACTCACTGGTTTTCCTTCAAAATGATAAAATAAATGTACTAAATTATACTCTAATAATTTATTCTCAAAAAGGTGCGTGGTATAAAATAAAGAACTGGAAATCTACAACAATTAATAGACAGAAATGTAAAGCGTTGAACTTAAACTTACTAAACCTCTTTCTGAGTTCAACAAATTGAATAAAAAACTGCACTATATATTAGCACTTCTCACAAAATACTAATAACTTAATTAATATTTTTAAAATTTTCGATTACTAAAAATACTATCTGCAATTAAAAATATTAATAAGTTTCATTAAAATTTGAGAAACAATTTTTCGCGATTTGAAACTTTTTTGTCATGTTGACCCACATAAATAGTAAGATAAGGAAATAAAAGCATTTTTAGAGTTCAAATAAAACTTATTTAAAATAATTCCTCAACAACATATCTCACTCAATAATTATTCAATCAAAATGAATTACAAACTGAAGTCTCAAAAATGAAACAATTAAGTTACAATATTGAACCTGACTTAAATCACAATAAGAATGAGAATCAGAGCAAACAAGTATCAGAATCAGAAATCTTGTTTCGAACAAACACGCTTTCATAGAAAATTTTTTAAATGAAACTTACCCGAATTTGCCAAAAATAAAGAGGAAACAATTTCTCATGATTCATTTACTAATTTTTTTGTTTTTTTAGCATATACTTTCATGGAAAAAATTTATTTTATATTCATCGGTTAGGAAAAATTTTCAATAAAATAACTGTATAACAAAAATGTATTCCAACGAAAATATTTAACAATTTGTAAAAATGTGTAAATTAATTTTTTTTCCAACAGGGGTTGTTGCAAAAATTTCGTCTTTTAAAGTAAACGGTGATACAAAAAAGAGTGGGAACCGGAACCAGTGGTCTGTACTCTTCATCGAACGTTCGTGATTTTGACTAGCATTTCTGTTATGCAATCAATGTAAAATTCGGTTCAATGCTGGTTTCAAAACAGGGGACATTTCAAAACTTAAAGTAAGTTATGGACTCTGCTTATTCTATTGTTTGTTTGTATTGTTAGACTTTTAATTAGAGAGTTATACAAGCTTTCAAGTTACAAATTAGGTACAGTTTTTTTTCTCGTTCTTTGGTTTATACTTTGAGGTAAGGACATACCGCACTTTTCTTCATCAGTTCCATCACCGCAGTCATCTACTCCATCACATTTTTTCTCGGTGGGATAACATTTTCGATTTCTGCAACTACCTTCTTTACTGCTGCAGAGTTCTAAAATAATAAGGGCATTCGCTTATAAGACGAAGAGAAAAAATTTTCATGATTCAAAATTGAAAATTACCAAATTAAATTAAAATAAAAATTATTTTTTTCATAAAATAAGCTTAGCCTCTTCCTTCTCTCTCCCGTAAAAATGACGGGGTGAGGTTTCGCCCTCTATTTCTCGCTCCCGAGAAATTTCCGGGCTGGAGTGTTCAGTAGTAACGCGCCAATAAGAATAAAACTAATTCATTTCTTTTGCCCGGAAAACATTTCATTTCTCAGTTTACAAACCAGATGGCAGTAGCAGGATATTTTTAAGGTAATTGTAGATAGTTAGTTTATTTTAAACTAGATGTCAGCACTAATCAAATAAGTAATACAAATGCAAAAGCCAAAAAAAATAGGCACTTTTATGACCGTTTTCTTGAAAATTAACTGATCGTTAAGGGGTTAAATAAAGGATCAAAGTTTACCTACATTTAAGTGAATTTAGTAATTTAATAGCCAATTTTTTGTAAATTTCCACCGTTTTCATTCCGTCTTTCATGTGTCTTCTTTCCTGCTTTATTTAGAGTGGCATTGAAGACAAATGCAATTAGTTGAAACCTGGGCAAGATGGACCGCTTAAGGAAACTTGGTTTAAAAAATAGTAAACTAGAGCAATTTTATATCTTTTATATTATAAACATATAGTGGGAACATTCCTCTTACATATCTCAAACAGAAAATAAATAAATAATAAAGTTCAATAATAATAACTTAACATAAACAAGAAAAGAACATTGTCCCATCTTTCCCGGGCTACCCGGGCAAAATAGGACACATAATTATATTTTAAAAATCACAGAAATTAATGTCAGAATAAAAGAATAATAGACAAAAAACATTTCTAAACATCACAGTTACTGCATAAGAAGCAGCCAAAACCGGAATAATCACTCCACGCTTCATGAGCCCATTCTAAGCAATCTGAACATTGAATCCAGTCTTCAGTAACAGTAAGTTATATTCGCTAGTTTATATATTTTTTTGTTAATATTACCTTATTTTTTATGCTTTTTGCCAAATCCGAAGAGTTTAATTTTTATTTTACACTTTTATTCCACTTTGACTGTCCCATCTTTCCCGGTCCATCTTGCCCGGATAGTATATTTCTTTAAAAAAATTATCTGCAAATTTTTTTAAGCAAATAGATTTTAATTTTCACTACTCATTATGTTTGTACAATAATAACACTACAGTGCCGCAAGTTTGAAAAATTTATTGCAATGCATTAAACAAATAATAACAGCATACAAACTTTAAAAAATATTTTAACACGTTGTAAGACAAACAAAACAATGCTTGCATTTCGGTAACACCTTGTGAACTAATGAAAAAACTTGTGCGTATTGAGAACAACAATATTTTCTTTCTGAAAAAGCACTTTAGATGTCGTCACCGTGATACGCATAGAAGAAAGCGATGTCCCGTCTTGCCCGGGTGTCCCGTTTTACCCGGGTGTCTCATTTTGCCCGTGCTTCCTCTATCTCTTTCTATTTTAAAAAAAAATCAATTAAACAGAGTTTTCAAGCTCTAACTTAACTCGGGGTCGAACATTTAGAAAATCCATGCTTTCTTACATCACAAACGGGTGTCTCAAAATGATGCATTAAGAAAATATATATATATCTAACTAGATTTGCTGAGACAGTGGCACATTTCTGCCTAACACAAAATTTATCAAGAATTTTTATTCTTCTTACCTATGTTAGGTGAGGATTCGTATTGAAGACGAAATCCTCTTCCGGCCACCATTTCATCGGAGAGGAAAAGAAGCCTAATCTCGCTCTCACCTGAATTTGAGAGGATAGGCCTTGGAATCAGATCGCCACAGTACTCTCCCAAAACGCTCTCTTTGTCTTTCCCGTACAAAACCAATTTGTCATGACCGCAGCTACCAGTAGGTTCAATATCTAGGTCCTTAAATGTTATTTTAATTCTCTAGAAAGAAAATGAGAAACAATGCAGTTTTAAATTTGTTTTTCAAGTAGAGGATGAACAAAGTAATGAAGGGGAGGGCGTTTTACTCATTCTCCACTAACGCTGCGTTGCATTTGTGCAAAACTCAGTAGGGGAGAGTGGGGTCAATTGTAACATTTTTTACTTAACTATTTTTAACTAACAAAAAATCCAATATATTATTAGTAGTAATTGACAGACGAGTAAAGTAGACTATCCTCTACTAGAAAAAAAACTAAATACCTTATTTTAAATGTTATTATATTATTATTAACAATTTTTGACAGTCGTGCACTTGTTACAAGTGTCCCCACTTACGGGGTCAATTGTAACAGTTCATAAATTCAACTAAAACATAGTTAATTATACATATTATCAAAGTTGCGATACATTTTTTTATTGATCAAAATAGTAGTGACAATTTAGGAGTAAAAATAATAATGAGCGTTAAACTTTTAACTTTAAGGGGTTAAAAATTTCAGTTTATGCTGTGAAAGGTGACTAATAAAATAATGCACATGCAACATACTATAAATGAGATAGGAAAATATTGGTATTTCTTAAAGAGTTAAGTAATGGTTTGTAAACATAAGATTATTTTTCAGCTGTTACAATCGTCCCTTTACTTATTGTTACAATCGTCCCCAAGACGCCATTTCAGCTTCATTTGTTAAAAACAATGCTAGTTAATTAACAAAACTAATCTTTTTTTTATTGAAATGTTAATTAAGGTGTCCACTTACATATTCGGTTAATAATTTTTATTTGTTTAAACAAAATTACTTTGATACAATATAATATTCTAATACCAAAAAAAGTACTTACGTAGCGTGAAAATATCTTTTGTGTTGTAACTCGTTCAAAAGTACATGAAAATGGTTGCCAGCAGGAGTGTACATGTAGATTTATTAAATACACCTTGTGCGCCCCCTAGGAACCAAATCTAGAACCCGACACTCGAAATTTTTGCTCTGTTACAATCGTGCCCTGTTACAATTGACCCCACTCTCCCCTACATAAATGCAAAATGAGGAATAAGCGCTAAAACTTAGTTGATAATTTCTGTTGGGACTACCACTTCTGTTTTAAAAAAGATTGCAAAAGCATAATTTCAGTTCATAACATAACTCTTTGTATCATTAATATATCTTGGTGAACACGAATATCTTTAATCAAATTTAAAAGACTAAGTAAATGTGTCATCAGATTTATGTTTTTGAAAAAGTGAGCAAGAGAGAGATATAATTTTGTCGGTTAATAAGCTAATTTTGAATTTATAAAAAATAATTGTTAAGTATATTTTTAGAGCATTTAACTTTTGTCAAGGAAAAGCATTAAAAAATGTGTCTCATAATATGTCTTAAATAAATTTTATAAAAAAATTTAAGATTTAGAAGAAAAAAAATTTAAAAAACCTTGAGTTCACATTAATATAAATTAAAGCATTGATAATGAATCTTCCGAAAATATCTAAGATTCTTGTAAGATCTCAAAAGAACTAGCTAGCCTTTCTTCCAAATTAAATAATATTCATAGTTTTATTTTTTTCTAAGTTTCAAATTATGTATTTCAATTAAAGATACAAATATATTCATTTTTTAATCAGGATAGTACTTATATTTGAGTTAAAAATAGTTCTGATGGAATACATCTGTAACTCAAGCTAATGCGAATATATTTGTGACACAGATACCTTTTTCCCGAACTCAAACGTTCTGAAGTTACTTCTCCACTTAAAAATTCTTAACCGAGTAAGGAGACAGGGAAAGATCATTGAAAGAAGGATTTATAGTTAATACTTAATTTTAAAAGACCACTTAGTTCTAAAAAATGAAATAGTAAGGTATAATACCAATAGTTCAGTTAATAGGTACTTTAAAGCTAAGTAGATTAATTAGTAAATTGTAATTGTTGATTAGTAAATTGAGCTATACTTACATATCCTGCAGGTGCTCTAATTCTGTATTCACACCAAAGTTTGTCTGGATATGATCCTTCATCATAGAAAGGACTTTTGACTTCTCCGATATTGGTTGCATCATGTTCGTATAGCTCATGGCATTGGAAATTTCTGTTTCCACTACTAAATGCTGAAAGGCAGTAATGATTATTTTGAATAATTACACTAAACTTTGTTTTCTTCTTTTAAAATTTTTTTTAAATATTGCGAGGTAATTTGCTAATTTTTATTGAAAAATAAAAATTGTTAAGCTATCGAAACATAAATTATTTTGGTCGTAAAACTTAATTGTGACAAATGAAAATGGAGAGATTCGGTATTAGCGTACTGATGAGTCGCATTTTTCTTCTCCCTACTTCAATCGGATTTTTCTTTTTACAAATTCCAATTTGACAAAATTTGTTTTGTGTTCGCCTATTCTAAAGTGGCAAAACGCACAAACGCAGCAGATCTACACAAACCAGGAAATATGCACAAAGCTAAAAGAACGAAAATAAATAAATAGAAATTTCAGAAACTATTTTTCAAGATTTAAAAAGAGTAAAGCATATTATTTTTATACTAAAAATATAAATGATATGACTAAAATAATAATGATAAAATAAACATTAAGTGTTTCACTTACGAGAGGCGTGGGGGATTTTTAAAAGCTAAAGTTTAGTATGAGTGATGTGTTCTGGATATTTTGTTGCAAGTCTGACAAAAACGAAAATGTATTCTTCACTTTATTCCATTTAAAAATCGTAAATTTGAAACTTTTATTATTTAGTCGTTTTCTTCATTTTAGTTTTGTATCTGTTAGTTTGTAGGAAAGTGGTCAGAATTTTAATTGTGGATAAAACGGTGATAAATTTCGCTTGTACCATTTACGACCAACTGTATTTTGTATTGGAATCAAGTCTCAGAATTCCAGTTAAAATTTGAGAATTCTAGTTAGTCAGAAAGTTGTTGAAATTTTGATCGATAAGTTTGACAGTAAATTGGGGTACACATTCTGCTTGTAACCATCAAGAGACTATCGAAGCTAATAATGTAATTTAGCACAGAAATCCAGTTTAGATTTAGACTATCCAGATTTTCGGAAAGTATTTGAACTTTTGAGTGTCAATGGTCTTCTTTTTGTAATAATATGGAAATAAACTCTATTAGAAGCGGTCCGGTAGGGAATGAAACTTTCATCGTCATCAAATACCGAGCTTCAATGGAAATTTAAGCACTCTAGTTAATCTTATAAAAAAACAAGCAAAATTTTGATTTATGATATATTGTGGAGCGATAATATGGAAGTAAGTCGTTTTTATCGATCAAGAAATGACTGAAACTTGTATTATCATAGTCACAGAGCTCCATAAGAAATTCGTAAAATTCTGTCTGTAACGGACACTTTTGTCCGCTACAGACGGAATTTTTTGTAAGTTTCAAATATTTGAAATGAACGTTTCAAATGTACGTTTCAAACGCACATTGTCATCGAAAAGGGAGGTTTTGTAGAAATTGTAGTGCTCTAATAGCTAGTTTGAAAGGAGTCAAAATTCCAATTCACAAAATCGATAGTCACAAATACGACAGAGAGGTAATTAAAAACATAGTGAAAATAGTAATTAATTATTAATCAAACAAAGCTATATTTTTCTTCGATACATTGCAAAAAAAAATACTTTCTTGTTAGACTTGAAAATAAATCATATAAACAATTGATTTTCGCAGATATTGATAAAATTATTAAAATATAAACTCTTAGAATTTCGTCTCAAACTAAAGTACAAAAAGAAATATTCGTATAGGTTTGTATTTCTGAACTGTTCCCGATTATGGTTAATAATAACATGGGCTAATGAATAGATTATTGAAAGTATTGTTATGATTTCCCTGAATTCATGCAAGTGTCATGCTAGTTGAAGTGATCAGGCAATATGAATTAAAACTTGTTTCCTTACTAATAGTATTTTAAATTCGATCAATAGTATTAGCAATATCTTCCATTCCATTAGTTCCATTGTAGCAATATCTTTCACAACGCATGGTTTTGCTATCCCGAGATAATATTAAATTCTATAATAAATCACTTTATATTACAACTTTACATACTTTTTTATTACAACTTTAACAGACTGTGACTCCTGCACTTAGGCTTAAATTACTGTCCGGATATCACAAAAACTCNAAAATACGGTGCCAAGGAGGTGCCCGGGAGTCGACAATGTGTAAAGTCGCGTCCGGATATCACAAAAACTCTTCCAGGCAACAAATTTGTGTGTTGGCGGCTACTGTGGTTTACGAATCTCTTCGAACAGAGGTACTAAGTAAACCATTCAACTATGATTGAGGTTCAGAGAGTTATGCCATTTCTCAACCCCCCCTCTTCATTAGAAATTATTTTATTTTTATTTCCATAACAGCAGATCGTAGCAAACCTCCAGTGGAAAGGAGTTTGCACTTTTTTTTTCAAAAATCAAAAGAGAAGGCAAAAACTTACAGTTTATAAAGAAAGGAATTATCAACAAAATTTAGCTACTAGGTCAAATTATTATTATTTCAAATTAAACAAAATCAAAATATTCGAGTTATCCAAAATAAAAAAATCATGGTTTTTATTTTTGGGAAAGATTAGGAAACATTTCGTAACCTGTAGCTATATCACTTTCTTTTTCATAGCTTCAAACTCACTTCCATGGGATTTTAAAATTCATTATTTAAAGTTAAATTCTGTTTTAAGTATTATATGCACACGTATTGTCACTTATAAGCAAGTATCGGTAGTTTTAAGTGCTAATGAAATTTTGATTATTCACATATTCATAATAATTTTGATTATTCATATGAAATTACATATCACCACCACAAAACATTGATATTGGAAGATACACTTCCGGTTATTCAGGTCAGAATGCAATTTTTCTGTTCTATGAGAATACATAAATCAGTTAGATTTTTATGGATATAAAAATAAACATAAAAACAGTATGATTCATTTTAGGTTTAAATTTCATTCCACCTTTAACAATTACTATCTAGCCCTGAATATCTTACACGTTTTTATTTCCGTTATTTTAATAAAGTTCTTTTTATATTTATTTCAAATTTCATTCCGTATAATAAATGCTGTCCTAATTTTTGTTTTGTTTCAAAATTTTTATTTTTTTAAACCATCCAATGAGATTTCAATATTTCAAATTTTTTTAAATCACTACTTACCTACATATATACTTATGCATAACGAATAAATCAATACATTTATAGACAACATTTTGAAATTTAACTAACTCCCATTTAGGATAAAACATGCTACTTGAGACAACGTTGAGACAGATGGTAGAGTTCCCACTTTATCTACTGTAGATTCTAATAAAAAATATTTTCCTCCTGAAAAATGGAAGGATTATTTTAACAATATAAAATCTAAATATGCATATAATTTAAATAAACACTTTCTTTAATCATTAGTGCTGTCACACTCTTGATAGGGAGAGTTCTAAAAATGCAATATTATTTCAAGAAAATTGTGCTTTTTCCCAACATGAATTATATTTAATAATTATATAAAACGACATTTTTCAATTTCAGTATAAATCAATCATTCTTTTCAATAATGCAGCTTTTTTCTTCCTAATTTGACTCGGGCGACTAATTGTTTGCAAAGCGTAAAAACTGTACAAGCGTAAAAACAAAGCGTCTAAACTGTACAAATGATTCACAACTTTTGTTTTAGCTTGCAAACAATATATAAATCGGATTTNGAGCGCCAGCGAGCAGGGGGCGAAGCCTCCTAGTATATATATATATATATATATATGTTACCGGCATTGTATATAGTGCCGGCTGTTTTGAGACAAGGAATGAAATAGGAGAAGTATTACATACTCTCCCTAGACATTGTGTATAATACCTAGGCATTCTATAGAATGACAAATGCTATTTAGACAAAGTATGAAAAAAGCGTCCTGATGAGTTTATTATGTAAATGACGTGCATTTCTCAAAAATAAAAATTTTATTTAAAAAAAATATTGAGAGTGCCTTTAAAAAAATTATTCAAAATGCGTAAAGAAAATTGAAAGTTGCTCAAAACATAATTTATGCCTTTCTTATTAAGGGAAACAAAATTTTCATATAAAAAATAAGAAATTAACTTGTTGCAACATGGCAAGCTTGAATGACATTTTGAATTACAGAATCGAATTATAAATTGCCGGTTTCTCATTTGACATTCTGTAGAATGCCTGAGAAATGTGTGACATATAAATCGCTTCATACATTGCCGGCTAAAATTTGGCATTATATACAATACCTAGACATACTATAGAATGCCGGATTTCAATCTTTACCGACAACATATATATATATATAAACATTTATTTATTTGACTCAACAACCACATATTAACAAAGCAAAATTAAATTGAAATACTCATAACGGGTAAGTATAAGCCTCAAATACAAGAAAACTTTTCTCACCAAAAATATAAATCTCCAAAATTAATCAAGTAATTCCAAAAATTGCCTCGTTCTTTTATTTTTCTTGATCACGTTATACGTTTTTTAATTGATGCTTGTATTATCCAGATACTTTTCTTAAATATTTTTAAGACTCTATAATGAGTAAAGAGGTGGATCAATTTATCACAGATTGTTTTTAATCAACCATTTTTGAGACTACTTTTCTCAAAGGAATTTTTGTTTAATTTTTTAAGCATCTCTTGAGATGCAAATTTAATATTATATCTCATAGAATTTTGCAATTTTTCGAAAATTAATGAATGCCAAACATAATACTGTAATATAGTACTGCAGATAGATTAAAGAATCCTGCTTTTATTGATCGAGGCATAAGACTTGGTAGACGACTACCACAGATATAAAGCTTTTATTTTGGATGAGAGATATCTCAAATTTATCCCAGAACAATAATAGTGTCAGTTCAAAATAGAACAGGTGCAATTAGGCAACCATAGTTCTAAACAAAAACTGATAAAATTATTTACGTTATTGAATGAACTGCTTGTTGTAAGATCATACGATTCATTTCTAAATTTTATTCATGCATTTCTTCAAATTTATATTCCATATCCATAATTTTAGTTCCAAGTGAGGCTTAAACAGAAAACAACATTTAACTTAACAGCGTACTTGTAACTTTGTCTTTGTAGCGTAAATCACGCCAACATCACGTGAAGATGCTTAGCATCTGAAATAAACACGAGCATGCGCAGTTGTTTTAATCTTACGTACGCAAGCTAACGTAAAATTGCAAAATCTCCCTATTTTCTCTTAAGTAAGTTTTACATTTTTTTCACGGGTGCATGCGCATTTCACTAGAACTGACGCATGCGCACTACAGGTGCGCATGCGCAATTACTTGAAATCTTGCGTACGGAAGCTAACGTAAATTTGCGAAATTTCCTTATTTTTTTTTTTAAATCAATGGTAATTGGATTGAAAAAAATATTTATGAAAGAAAGGCAAAATAAAAGGGAATATGGTACTAATTCATTTAGTGGAAACGTAAAAATCGCCATATTATTATTGACACTAATGATTAATTTAGATAATATATGCATGTTAGAATATCAGAAATAAACTATCTACTAGAAAGCAAAAGCAATGCAATGAATTTATTTATTTCTATAGAAGAATAGTAAGAAATTGTTATACTATCATTGACGACAATGATTCTCAATTAATATTGGTAATACGCATTCATTGAAATAAAAAAAAAAAACTTATATATACTGAAACGCAAAAAAAAAATGGCGAAAAGATACTTATTCGTTCTAGGAAACCGTAAGAAATCGTCATATCATTATTGACACAAAAGCTTAATTAATATTGATAGCATGTTTGAAATAAAATAAAATTAGCTATGTGCTAAAAAGCCAAATTAACGGAGAAAAGGTTAATGGGATATTCGTTCAGGAAAACCGTAGAAGATCGCCATTCCCAGATGACGCTTAATTAATAGGTACTATTGACGGTAATATGTACTAGTGGTATATTATGGTAATCGGTGGAGTTTTCATAAGAATTCTACAACTGGTTTTTCGCAGTTTCAGAAAATATTTTTTCCTATAATGGCAAAGATGGCGCAATACATCAAAATCCTTATCAAGTTCTAATATGAATTATACTTTTATTAAAAAAGAAAAAAAAATTCTTCAGTTGGTTGCTACTAACAAACGTATTTCGCATAAAGCCTAATTGTTGAACGGCAATGTAATAAGTACGTAATATACTAACATAGGAATAAAATATTTTATTGATATGTTTGATGATTATTAAAACTGCACCTATACTATGAAGTTTTAATACCGATACTTTGAAAATAAGGGATGTCGGAGAGGTCGAAAGGGATATGAACCGGAGAAAACTACCTAATCAGAAAATGAATCCAAATTACATAAGCAAAAAGAGACAAGAAAGTAAATTAACTATTGAAACACTAAATCAAAATGGAAAAGCGCCTAAAGCAGCTGAAACCAAATTTGCTTTACTTTAATTTAGACATTCAAACAAACATTACAACAGGAAAAATTACTTGATAGTGCTAAATTTTGATTATCATGAGTTGGCTGCGAGCAATAGCATCATGCTAACTGAAGCTAAATACATTTTATATTTATTATAATGGGATCAACTAAAAAGAACAAGTTTTGCTTATTTCAATAATGAAATCACCGATAATGACAACACATAATATTAAATAAAAAAATTGAATTTATTTTAGCTGTATTAATTTATAACTTGGTAGAAGAACCAGGCAAATAGCATTTTTAGAACGAAAAAAAAATTTTTGAAAACTGAACTTTTTTATTATCAATTTATTAGAATACAGGACTAATAATTATTTGCTTTATTTTATTTACCACTGCCCAATTTGAAATAAAAATCATGCAAACATACTACATACTAATATAAATTAGTCATGTTAAGTTTAAAGTTAAAGCAAAAACAGTTTTGTTACAGTAAACATACGCATATTAATGCAACCACTTAATGATATTTTCTCTGATTCATTAATTCCCTTAAAAATGTCTCTTACCTGGTTTACCTGGTTCTTCCATTAAGCTCTTCAATTGTGTCGATACATGCTTTTCAGTTTAAAGCATTATTTCGTAGTGCTTTTCACTACTGATTTACTCCCTGCGAAGAACAGGTATTCAGCTAGTTTCCTTATAAATATGTTTTAGTGTTAAAAATTGTAGAAGATATTTGCACTATTGTTCAAGTAAACAAATTGTTTGAAAATTGTAATGAAATGCATCGCATTGCTAAAATTTTTATATTTTAATTGAAGTTTCATAACCATTGACAATGGAAGTTTTAACCGTCTCTAGTTTGCTATTAGCTAACTTTGTTACCATTTCAACGTTAAATTAAATTTATTGCCGATGGAAATTTCGACCACTTTTCGACTGGCTAGATCCCTCAAATTTTAACTGGATTTCTGTGCCTGATGCCCATTAAAGTTACAATAGATTTTTAAGTGCTGCATTTTTTCGCCATTTTATCGGAAAACATTTTTTGACTGCTTTACATAGACAAACTTACAGATTGACGGCTAAAAAGAGAAAAGAAATTCAAACTTTAAAAACTACGTTTTTCAAGTGCACTATAAAAGTAGAAAATCATTTTATTTTTGACATATCAAATATGAAAATCGTCGGGTACCCAATTTCTATCCACACCAAAAATCCGTTACCAACGTGTTTGAAATATATTTGGAACCAGAATCAATATTTCCTTATTTGAAAAACTTAGTTTTTAAAAGCATTTTATATTACATTCAAAATTTAACATGCAATGTGCTTGATATTTTATCTTTTTAACATAATCGATGTTTTTTGTTGAAGAAACTGGGGAATTTTACCGCAATGTAATCAAGATTATCTTGGATCATAATTTATTTTAAAGCTTATACATTTATTTAATACCATTGATAGTTTATAATGAGGCAGACACATTTGTTTAAATTATTGAGCATTAGGAAGTCAAAATTCCAATTATATAAAATAAAATATAATTACAATAAAATTATTATACATGCATCTCTTATTTAACTTTCCAAAAATTATGAACTTATCTTATATCTGTTTAGATTTATTTCTGTAATAAATACAATGATAAAAATTTTCAATTTTAATCATGAAACCAAAGGCTCTTGTTGCATAAATAACACATCTTTATTAGCATTTGTAAAAATAGATGTTCACTCTAGGTCAGTGCTCCCCAACCCCCGGTCCGCGGACCGGTACCGGTCCGTGGATCAAATAGTACCGGGTCGCCTGGTATCAAATGGTACCGGGCTGAAAATATCTGTGTTCCATTAAA